TCTGAAAAAGCGAAGACAAAGCTGCTTATGATTATATTAGTAATCCATTTACCGCATATTAAAGGTGGTGTTCGCAGTTGTCTTACATCATGTTGAGGTGAAGAATACGTAGGTGACTGGGAGTGCTCTCAGTAACCTGCTTGTGAACCAACACATAAATTGTCTGTAATATGGCGTGTAAAACGTCTCTCTTTAGTTGGTGTAGCTTAGCTTAAGAAAAACACGAGACATGAGTGTACAAGTCAGTGTCCAGGGGAGTACAGTATAACACTTCTAATAATAGTTGACCACTTCCAGTGTGGGGTCGCTTGAAGTTTAAGTGTGAAAGTTTTTCTCTCCGATTTGTAGGTAAGAAAGAAAGGAGTGGGAGCATTTATCATTTATATCTTACTGAGTCATTGACACTATTAGTGTTATATATAATTTACGCATTTTTATTCTACTTCCTTTAGGTTTTATGGAAACGTCTGATGATTCATAATATATTTTTTTTACATATTTTAAACAATTTATCTCTGTATAGGTTGTAACAAAACGTATTTTAACACGTATTACTTTCTCAGAGAGAGAGAGAGATGATAATTTTTAGGGTTACTTCCTATACGTGGACTTAATATGTGTGGCTGTACCCACTCAAGCTAATTTTACTGAGACAAATAAAAAGAAAATCAAATCCCGGGCAGCGTTGGTTATCCCAGGTAGTGTTGAATAAACTCGGAATAAAAAATTGGTGATTAAAAGTTTGGATTCCTTAATTTGTGCAAGAAATAATGCTTTTGTTTAACAGGGAAATTAACACGATTGAGAGCGTTAAACAAAGTTATCTTATGGTCTAATATGCACTAGATAAATACACTCTTGAGCAGCTCTCTAAACCATATATATATATATATATATATATATATATATATATATATATATATATATATATATATATATATATATATATATATATATATATATATATATATATATATATATATATATATATATATTACCTTTTCAAAGAAACAGTATGTCCCTTTATGTAGGATGCAATATGATTAATTTAGTGTTCATGTGTACATGTAACGTGCCTCACACTGCACACACCTCAAGGTTACGAGAAATGCTAAAAGTGCAGGGGACTCATTTATCTGTCAGGTTGAAGAATACTCCAGTAGGTGCTTGGCTGAAGGAGGTATAGAGGGTAACTCTTCTGTACCTCTCTGCTATTTCTTTACTCTCCTCATTCCGCTTCTTCTCTCGTTACCTCGTTTCACCCGTCTTCCTCTTACCCCTTCATTAAACACTTCTTTTCCTAGTTCTACCTTCGTTCCCTCTCCACTTCAATTCTTCACCTTTCCATTTATCGTTCGTCCTCACTCCTTCCTCTCCTCTTATCCCTAAAAACTCCAATATCAAAATGTTAGAGGCACTACAGGACCTCCCTCGCTCAGCTTGGCTTCATATATAACATTTACTGATGATTTCCTGTACATATTCTTTCTTCATTAACTTCATCAACAGCTCGTCAGGGGAAACTAGATATCCGTCTCATATCTTAAACGACCCTCCAACACTCGTCATCTGAAGAGCTGTTGGCATTCAGGCTGTCACGATAAAACCCTTTAGTTAATCTCTATCAAAATGATTTCGACATTGCTTATTCCTGGAAGCCATAATTGCCCCAAATTCGATACTTTTGAAGTTTTGTTATTTCTCTCCTTTAGGTTCTATTCACATACTAATGACTTCCCACATATACAGCAAGACTGATTCTTTAATTATGACCGTAGTGATGTGTGTGTGTCACCCACGTGTAATGGAGTCGAGGTTCATTTTACTATGTTTCTTTTTGGTTAACACTGACAATTTCTAGTCGTTATTGTACTGTTACATTATTAAATTCACTACACATACATACAATTCCTATACCATCAACAAATATGACGCTCCGACATAAAGACGGGAATAAGGCAACGTACCATCAGGCTCCCCACTTAGAGCGCTACACACGCCTACACACTGCCTCGGGCGCCCAGATGTTGCCGATATAAAGGTGTGAGGCGCTCTCAAGGCACTCGTTCAGTTAAACTTTAGAAAATGAAACGGAACCTAGTAAGGATAATATTTTCTTTCTATTATCACATGTATGGTAAAATTGACACTTTCACATAAGACTTTCTGCTTTACTTAATTTAGGTTAGGTTAGTTTAAGTTAGTTTAGTACTGATGCTATTGTACACTACTTCCATCTATCCCCAATCAAATTCCAGGTGCCGCGCGGGGAGCGTACTCTGGAATGTGAGTTTCGAAAGGTAGATATATAGTATGGTTGGTGCGATTGCTTTCTTGCTTGTTTGATTTTGTGCTTGTCTAGGCGGTATCTCACACACTTTTATTTAGGAAGCTGAAATTCAGACAATAGTGGCCAAGTGCTTTGAAATTTTATTCTATCTTTTTAAGTTTCTGGATCCTATTTTGTTCATGGTTGTTCAGATATAGCGTACCATTACTTGTTCATTAAAATTCGAATGTTAGCGAACAATCAGCATTATAATGAATTTCTCGCCTTCGTAAATGATACCTAGAAATTGTACATGACACCTCTGAATTACTCATCAAAACTATTTGGACTAGCGAACTTCCTTTAAAGTCACACTTGTTCCATGTGTCTGTTAAAAAGAAATATATTAATAAGGAATAAATTAATAATAAATAAATAAATTAGAAAATATATTAGTGGACGGCTATAACAAACATAAACCAGAATAAATATATACTGATTTCGGTAGAGCATTTCAAACAAACTTCCTACATAATTCGTCGAAAAAATATAGTTAGCAAATATCTGTGGTTGAGCTTCCCCCACTCCTCCACGATGTGCCTCGCGGATTGACGTTTTTCTCATTGGCTCCTCATGATGGGCGAGTGGGAGGAGTAAGTGGCGGGCCAGCGCTCACCACCCCATCTTCATCAATCATCTCCTGTCAACCACGCATCGAGCTGTGCCTTGTCCTGCTGTACATGAAACGTATTAAAAGAATATCAACTACACCAATTTGTTTTAAATAGTAACCAAAAGATGGAATACAATACGTCTTATTAACACACGAACACGCACATTACCTACCACATAATTAACAAATCAAGTTAACAAGAATCTATATTAACTCACTGTAAACGCCTAGCTGGAGTGTACTGTTAATGTAACTCACTCCAGAGAAGCGCTAATCAACATCAAAGAGACTGGAAGACGTGGAGCGAGTGCTGACAACATCACCTGTGTGAAACTAAGAAACTACAAAGCACTACGTCTGTGTTTATGCCCAAATCTGTAATAATTGTGCTGAAATGTCTTAATATAAACTCTCTGGCTCTGAGACATAAATCAGAATATGTAACTTGATCAAGGAACCAAGACATCATACACGTGTACCTGGCCGTGACGGTGAACACAGTGACAGTGGTTGGGTGCAGTCATCAAAGGGAGAACAACCAAACCCTTATGTTTATTAAATTGCATGACTTAAATCACGGCGCTGGAAACTTCTTGTACTTGGGAAGATCGTTCAAAGCTCAGAGTATAATCCTTCAACAATTCCTACTTCATCATTTTCAAATGTCGAGATTAGATTTTGGCCTTATGGTCTGAAGCTGAACACTACAGGACATGAAGAATATATGTGACCATTGTCGTGTTGGAACACAGTGTTGCCGAGACCAAGTGTTGTGGGTCAGTCAACACGGAATATTTAAACAAACCGCCGTTGGTTCAGGAGACTGACACGTGTTTACAACGTCAAGAACCTGCAGCGAAATAACTGTTAGCTTTTTGTGAAAACTCACAATATGCAGATTCTTTACAAGCGCAGTCATGCAAACGAGACTGCGAGGTGGTTTTGTTTATTCCTTTACCCATATACTGTATTTATATCACGTGGTCACAAGTTTCACCCAATATAGGCAGGTCTGACAACAACCCTGGGATACAAAAAAAATAACAATCTGTCGATAGTTTTGCCTTGTCATCCCCCAACATCAATTTTCACAAATAAAAAACTTTAATCCATTATTTGGCTATTACGTCTTATATTCAACACCGTTTTCCAGTGAATTCGCCTGAGAGAATAACCTATTCTATAGGATGACTCGGGTGTCTGGACGTCGATGTTAGACAGAGGTTATGGCTGGTATTTCCCATTCGGTGGTTTAATTGCCATGATTATGTTCACTGACGATATAGACGTCGTGTTCAAGACTACAAAGTCACACACGTTTACTGACTATAAGATATGGATTTCAGGCTTTAAGTTGGATTTGTGTCCTCACTTGAAATAAACTATTTTCGTACACCAATGTTGAAATTCAACTGAATTCTTTAATTTAGGTTCCTCATCCCCCCGAAAAATTCGAATACATTTTCTCCATTAAGAAATACAGACACACACAGTTCTAAATATCCTAACTAAAACCTTTACGTATACCAGTTATAACCAATCTGAGGTGATCCCGGTGCATTCCGGCTCCTACACGTCACTACCCCTGACTCTCAACTGGCGGCGCTTCAGCCCTGAGAGTGGCCATTGAGTCACTGGGGTAAAGCGATTATCCCGGAGACCATAGCTGTGTCTCCTTTAATGGCGGGAGTGTGAGCGTCCACTCGAGCAACAGCGTGTGTTTGTTGGGGGTGAAATGGACATACGGCCGCTGTTAGTCCTGTGTTCATCCTCGCTTTAAGGTGTCATGAGAATTGGTCAATCTATTTTCGTGTCTCTTATTTTCTTCCTAATTTTTGGCCTCTACTCGAAATACACCTATATTTTGTAGAGATGATAATAATAATAATAATAATAATAATAATAATAATAATAATAATAATAATAATAATAATAATAATAATAATAATAAAAAGAAAAAAAATAATAATAATAATGATAATAAACACATGAAACTTGAACATAAAGGAACATAAAAAGCAGAGAGAAAAAATCTGATGATGATTACAGAGTTAAGGTTTATGGCGCCCTGAAACCAGCTGTCCCTTGAGCACTACCCCTGAACCCAACTGTACTTCGAACACCACCCTTGATACCAGCTGTCTCTTGAACACCACCCCTGATATCAGCTGTCTCTTGAACACCACCCCTGATATCAGCTGTCTCTTGAACACCACCCCTGATATCAGCTGTCTCTTGAACACCACCCCTGATACCAGCTGTCTCTTGAACACCACCCCTGATACCAGCTGTCTCTTGAACACCACCCTTGATATCAGCTGTCTCTTGAACACCACCCCTGATACCAGCTGTCTCTTGAACACCACCCTTGATACCAGCTGTCTCTTGACCAGCTGTCTCTTGATATCACTTGAACACCACCCCTGATATCAGCTGTCTCTTGAACACCACCCTTGATACCAGCTGTCTCTTGAACACCACCCTGATATCAGCTGTCTCTTGAACACCACCCCTGATATCAGCTGTCTCTTGACCCTGATACCAGCTGTCTCTTGAACACCACCCCTGATATCAGCTGTCTCTTGAACACCACCCCTGATATCAGCTGTCTCTTGAACACCACCCCTGATACCAGCTGTCTCTTGAACACCACCCTTGATATCAGCTGTCTCTTGAACACCACCCCTGATATCAGCTGTCTCTTGAACACCACCCCTGATACCAGCTGTCTCTTGAACACCACCCCTGATACCAGCTTTCCCTCTAATGGCAAGATAGCCGACACATTAAGATTGTATCCACTTTGCTGCACCAAGTAGGTATTTCATTTCCCGTACATAAAATCAAACACATAATATGCCTGACTACCTTTCACGCAAATGTGAATAACAAAGCGTGCGGCCAGACATACTGCCTCACACTCCTGTACTCACGCAGTTGACAATAAGTTACCCTCTATGTACAGACCTAAACAAAGAATTTATTTGAAATACTCTGTACTTCCAATGTCTTAATATCCTGACCACGGGGCTTAGTTATACAGACCATTTGTGAACTTTACTCTGTAATTCTTTTGCGTTACTGCCCACAAGATGAGTATGGGGTGCTCAATAAACTAGCCGCTCTAAGTGGCGGAAACAAAAACGCCTCTCGAACACCACCCCTCCTAGTTAGTCTCCAGAGACCACCTATACACAGGAACAGAGCCACAACAACAGCCCAGGACAGGTGTATTGAGTTTATTCTGCCACTCTACGCAAATCGAAGACAGTAAATGTACCTCACATTGTTTTTGTTACCCATCCTTTGTATTACACTGTTGAGCGTCATTTTATTTCATGAGATATTTCACGTTGTCAACTAAGTACAGGTACTTTATATATCCACTAAAAAATTATAATTAACAGATCTTAAACTTACTTAAAAATTACTTTACGATAACTTGGTCGAGGGAGGAACAATAATTTCTGAAGAGATCCTGTAGGCCTGAATTCTTGTTAGGGACATTGCGGACACAGAGACTCAGGAATAATTTAACAGACAATGATTTATGGGCGAACACCTTTGATCTAGAAATCAAATTGAAGAACAAATAAGAAACGAAAAAAAATATTTAACATCAATACATACTGTAGACTAGATAAGAAACAAACAAACAAACAAAATAAGAAACACGTAAAATATAAAGTGTTCTTATATTTACTGAAGTGAAAGGACCATAAAGGAAAAACAAACAAACCAAGATGGGAGCAATATGTATTCAGCACACTGTACTGTACACAAGGCTCTCGGTGCACTGGGAGGCATTGTGGCCGGCACTTTCCCATCTCCAAAGTTAGGTACTCAGGCACAACTGGGTATGCCCTGGGCGCGAACCAATGACCTTTGGAACAGGAGGCGAACGCTTTATCCCACAGAGCTATTGCACCGCTTTGAGAAGATGGAGAGAAGAGAAACTGGAAGAATGTGTTTAAATCAATAATGTACAACAGGGGAACGACGGGAAGACGGAGACAGCTAGAATGAAGTGATCAATCAACCAGGAGTCTCAAGAACCACTCCTTCATCAGCCAGGTGTCTCAAGAACCACTCCTTCATCAGCCAGGTGTCTCAAGAACCACTCCCTCATCAGCCAGGTGTCTCAAGAACCACTCCTTCATCAACCAGGTGTCTCAAGAACCACTCCTTCATCAGCCAGGTGTCTCAAGAACCACTCCTTCATCAGCCAGGTGTCTCATGAACCACCCCTTCATCAGCCAGGTGTCTCAAGAACCACTTCCTCATCAGCCAGGTGTCTCATGTGTCTCAAGAACCACTCCTCCATCAGCCAGGTGTCTCAAGAACCACTCCTCCATCAGCCAGGTGTCTCAAGAACCACTCCTTCATCAGCCAGGTGTCTCATGAACCACCCCTTCATCAGCCAGGTGTCTCAAGAACCACTTCCTCATCAGCCAGGTGTCTCATGAACCACTCCTATAACAAGCAGGTATCTCAAGAACCACTCCTCCATCAGCCAGGTGTCTCAAGAACCACTCCTCCATCAGCCAGGTGTCTCAAGAACCACTCCTATAACAAGCAGGTATCTCAAGAACCACTCCTTCATCAGCCAGGTGTCTCAAGAACCACTCCTATAACAAGCAGGTATCTCAAGAACCACTCCTTCATCAGCCAGGTGTCTCAAGAACCACTCTTCTGTCACCCAAGAGGCACGAAAACCACTTTCCTATCGGTCACAGAACACCTGAACCACTCCTTCATCAGCCAAGGGGACTATGAGAACCAATTCACCATGAGTCACCTGGACCACTCGACTCCCCACCAACAACAAAGGAGCCATTAAGTCCGACGGCAGCAGGTGGAAGGGCCTGGAGCGCCGAGGTCATCGCCCGGAACTGCCTCAACTTGCTGGAACAACAAGTCCAACAAGACCCGGTGGGACTAGGATAGGTCGAGTCCAGGCCTTACTGACGCTGGAACACGGCAGGGAAACAATTGAGGGGGGGTTAGCCTAAAACTTGCGTCTGGTTTCCTGGGACAAAGACGAAAAGTTTTAAATGGTCTATTTTCTCAAGAAGCCATTTGTGCCCCTCCCTGTTAGCTATGACAACATATGACTTAGTCTTTTTTTTCTCTAATTTTTTTCCCTGGGAGGAGAAGCGGGAACTATGGACGTGTGTGTTTAGCGAGAACCAGAAAAATAAAGATAATCACGTTACTTATGATGTTTATCTTCATATGGGAAACAGGAAAACAAGTTAAAGAGATATTTTGCGTTAAACATTGAGAAATCAAAATGGCTGAAGAGAGGAAACTTAAGATGTGATAAGAAAATTACATTGTATTCAGGAAGAAGTATATGAATATATTATCCCTAAACATCTGTTTTGTTTCTTCATTTCATAAATCCAAATATCAAAGTTAATTAAATGTATTAATGTATTTATTTTTAGGTTGTGTAATTCTGATCCATGAATACTAATAATGACTGATGCACGTCTGAGTGAGTGAGCCAGAGAATAATTTAACTAGACAGGAAGACGTTTTCCTTCTCTGCCAGATCCAGTACATTCCCAACGTGTTCACAGCAGTAGAGGCTCAACACCCACAACTGATACCTCATCGCTAAGGTAATATTTTCCTGGTGGCTTTAGATACCCTTTTCTCGTTTATTTGTCATATTTTTATATTATCTAGGATTTTATTTGTTTTATTTTTTACTCCTTACTCGATCAAGACTTAGTAATGTCACACTGTTACCAAAATTTGTTAAAATTTGCATAAAAATATACATGAGCTACAGCAAATAAAACACTACAAATATTAAGAAATTGTTACTTATTCTTCTTTATGTATACCTAAACATACTTGTACGTGATAACTTAGCTTGTTGTTGAACCATGTAATGGTAATCAACCAAATGTACTTTTCAAATATATATTCTTCATAATTGGAATAACGTGGGAATAACTTTCAAAATCTTACTTTTTTCAGATTAAATCAGTTTTGACTTAAATAGAGTATGCTTTCAGAGAACTGGTTTACTGAACAAATCTCCCCATTAACTAAATTCTCAAAGTCAAAATTACCCCATTTGTACACTGATATTTTGGAGCCTGCAAACGACACTTAGTAGTACACACACACACACACACACACACACATAAAGTGAAATATTTCTAAAACTTAGCTTTAAAGTAGAAAACCTCAGTGTGTAAATAGAAGACGGACCCATCTCGTGGATTATCCTACTGATATGAATATTTTAAGAATTCTATATATTTACTCGCTTATTTATGAACTTATTTATAAATTTACTGACTTTTTCCCTTCATGTGATTATCTTCCTTCCTTTATTCTCAACTTCGTATTTAGTGTAAGAGAGTTGAGATAAAAACTGTCTCTAATGAAGCGACTCATTTACTGCCGTCAGAATAATGGCGAAGACGTGCAACTGGGATAATTATCTCGGTGGTCATTAGCGTAATTAGAATAGACCAACATTATCGGAAAAATGTGAATGGCAGATTAGAGTATTGAAATGCAGGGGAAATGTGTATTTGATGTGTAAACCAGCAGCAGTGACATACTTTTCAATATTTCTGGAATTAGTGATCTTGAAGTGTATAGACATGATTATTATACAAGGAGATTATACAGGGAATATGTGTATAAGTATTGGTTGTAAAATTAACTACTCATTTATACGGTGATGTGTCTGTGAAGGGCTAAGGAGGAGCAAACCCCACTACTCTATCTTTCAGTGTTCTTTCATACCAAAAAATCTATGTACTGATTTTAATTATATTTAATAGGAATACAAATGTGAGACGTCACCAATTACGATTTTATGACAATACTCCTTGGAAGTCGTTCAAAATCTTGTCTGCTGGTGAAATTATTTTGAATAGAATATTTTTCCCTTTCTGCAGTGCTTTACCCTTTATCGGTTATACAATAGTTTTTACTGTGACACAAGACATAAAATTACTTATCTATCTTAGCCTGTTTATGGAAGTGGAAACATATGTATTCTTAAAGGAACTTATAAAAGATTTATGACAAGTGTTTAAGTAAGTTTTAACCCATATGAAGGGTGTCTCTAGCTGTCCCTCTAGGTAGGTGGGTTTTGGAATTATGTCAGATGTTAAGAGTTGCCACGATACTGTTTTGAGACCTGTGTGTATAAATAATAATAAACGGTTTATTAATAGGGTTGCAGCCGGTGGCTGAAAATATACAGACTTACATTTGATTTAGACATAATGATATAATACGCATTGAATACATTTACAGGGCTGTACAGTACATAAATCAGGAGTTGTTTATTATTTTAACAATAGATGGGATGGTGCTGTTCTTATATCTATCGGTGCGGGCTCTTATGGGCTGAATTTTGTTGTAGTGGCGGACTGCGCGAGTTGGATGGGGGGCTGCAGGTGGCAGGAGGTGGCGAGGGTGGTGCAGTAGTCCACGGCCAAACCTTTCCGGTGCTTGGTGGTGGAGGTCACTGAGGGATGGCATTTCCAGGGTGGAAAGAGCGTTTGTGTGTGTGTGTGTGTGTGTGTGTGTGTGTGTGTGTGTGTGTGTGTGTGTGTGTGTATGTGTGTGTGTGTGTGTGTATGTGTGTGTGTGTGTGTGTGTATGTGTGTGTGTGTGTGTGTGTGTGTGTGTGTGTGTGTGTGTGTGTGTATGTGTGTGTGTGTGTGTGTGTATGTGTGTGTGTATGTGTGTGTGTGTGTGTGTGTGTTTGTGTGTGTGTGTGTGTGTGTGTGTGTGTGTGTGTGTGTGTGTGTGTGTGTGTGTGTAAGTTCTTATATGTGGACTGTAGAAAGAGTTGTAAAAGTCCTGTAGACACAGGTCTAAGACACCAGTGACTGGGATGACTCCGTCTGACATCCAGTTGTTGCGTTCCACACAACAGTCGAGTGTATCTTGTAAACAGCCAACAATACGGCTTGCAATTTTTGTGTCAATATCAGTATAAGGCCAAAATTCGTCCCACGGGAGTAGTCAAACGATATATTTATAAAACTATTTGATATTCACAAAAGACTCTATGTAGATACAGAGAGACCTCCATCTTGATTATACGACACAACGGGGTAATGGACTGGGTAATCAAACCGCGCACCCTGGCATGGCTTGGGTAATCAAACCGCGCACCCTGGCATGGCTCGCTTGGTTTCAAGGCGTGGCCCGTCACGTGACCCACGTAATCTGGACATATACGGGGCCGATCCGGTGCTTTAGGGACTTGATCTTACAAATGTAGAAGTTTCCTGTGATGCTGGCTCAGCATAAGACAGGGTATGCTCGACTGGGTGGCGACA